GAGAGCGCACGAAACTCTATTAGGCCGTCGTGCATCAATTGTTAATGCCACAGACAGACGCCGCATGCAGCTGCCTGGGAGCAGGATGCGAGCAGAAGTCGCTGCCACGTCCAAGGACTGCTCAGCATGGTGGCCGCAACTTGAAGTCAATTCGCGCGCTTTTCAATTTTTAATTGGGATTTCTGATGTGCTGGCACTGCTCCTGCTGGTGCTGCCCCACGCATTGCCACTGCGCCTTTGTTGACTCGCTCGGATGATGGCATGTCTTGTGCCTAGTCCTTGTCACGTGGTGGCCAAATGCGAAATGCGCTTTTCAGCAAACACAAAACACAAAACACTGAAAACCCGAAGGAAGTCTTCACTGACTGAGCGCGTTCTTTTCCCTTTGGGGGTTCGAAATGTTTACACGATTTTTCGTGGTTTTCTGACACGGGTTCGGCGATGACGACGACGACGTCATTGTGACATTTTAATTGTTTATTTGCTCAGCCACAAGAGTCCGGAGAGTCAGAGTCACAACGAGAGTCCTGCCACAAAACTACGCCAGCTCCCGCTCCAGTTCCAGTTTCATTGCCATTTCCATTTCCATTCCCGTTTCCAGTTGCTGTTTCTGTTGATTTAAGTGCTTGTTGCCGGTTAGGTAATTGTTCCACAACTGCCACTATATATACATTCGTATATATATTTGTATATATATTTGGACAAAGGATTTGCGGGTGAGGAGTTTTACCTTTTTTGATGCATGCATCCACTTTTTCGCTTTTCATTTTTATAAATATAAAGTACTCTTCTTCATTCTCTCCTCTTTCTCCCTTTCTCTACTGTTTAGTGTAAATATTTGTTTTTTATTGCCATTTGAAGTGCGTCCTCAGCATAGTTTATTATTAATGTTGTTCACATACGTCAAAGCAAAGGGCTAAAAATATATCTATGTATTTATTTATGTTTTTAGTTTGTTGAATATACAACACGATAACAATATTTCCTACACCCATAACGGTATCATTTCATAAGTCATTAAGCTTAGTCATATCTCAGCATATCATATACCAGCAATAATTTAGTTATTCCAACAGACTTATCAAATAATCTTTAATAAACGGCCCATTTAATCCACCTTCGATGCCTGCTTGGGGTTAATAAAAAGTGCACAATAAAAAAAATGTACTCGAAAATTTCGCTACATTTTGAAACACAATGGAAAACAACCACCGCCATAGAGCCAGAGAGCCGCAGCATTCACTTAACCAGCTTTTAGCCCGAACACCCTCATCTGCGCTAAGTAGCCAATCAAACAGTTATGCCTAATAAGCGACGGCTGTCGGCGAGAGAAGCGTTACATATGGAACTTTATTAGATAGGACTTCCATAGATTAACTTTTCAGCTGCGTGGATGTTTAATACTCTCCACTGGTCTGCTTTAAAATTATTTGCTGATCTGCTTTGACTACACTTGAAATAGAGACAGTTTAATGGCTTCCCATTCTCCAGCTTAACAGTTCCTTCTTGTAACCTTCTCCCCTTCTCTATTCATATCTATCGTTGGCCATTATATTTATGTCTCATGATAAATGGCTGCATTGAGATAGAGACAGTTAAATGGCTTCCAACTCTCCAG